TTTAAATGAATTCTTCTACTTTTGTAGAAGAATTCATTCAGACATAGAGACAAGATTGTTGACTTTAAGATTTAAAAACAAGAAGATGTAGATTTTTTTAATGAACAAAAATGAACACGTTTTTAAAAAATATTATATAAAGATAATACAAAAAGTAATTTTACAAAAAGTATATTTCACAAAAAAATGTAAATAACAAAACACAAGGAAAAATTAAAAAAGTTTTTCAACGAGCGAAAGATTCCATGAACAGAGAAAGTTGATTACTGAGAAATTTGAAGAAACAACAAAATGTTCAGCTAATTTTGATAATGACAAAGATGAACAGTATCTCCAGCATATTAGAAAAATGAAAAAATTAAATGCTGTTCCTCTTTTTGTTTCAAAAAATATTGGAAAAGATTTAGCTTCAACAGGATCAAAATATGAATTTCAACTGCAGTAAGTGCAACACTTGCTTATATATAATAGTTTTGAAAAGAGAGATAATTGTTTTATTTCTAAATAAAGTATTTGGAGGCAGAAGTAGTTAAGTATAAATAAAACTGCACGCAAAATTAAATATAACTTTTTTATATTGGGTAAGGGTAAAAGTCTTAAAATGCATTTTGACTTATTATTGTAGAAATGAAGAAACTTGGTAAAGAGAAAGTTAAAAAAGTAGCTGTGCTAATCAGTTACCAGACCTTTCAGAATCCCAACTTTTGTGTATTGTAGCTGAATCCCAGACCTTTCAGAATCCCAATTTTTGTGTATTGTAGCTGTAGAAGATGGCACCGCTGAATCTTCTTAAAAAGCAATCAGAAAAACATTACAAGACAGAGAGCTTTTGACCATGTTGATTGTTTGTCCTTTGAAATCACTGTCACAAATATTGGTTGGCTAAAAAGAGTCTGTACTCTTATTGAGCAGTGGAGAAGAAAAGCTTTAATTTAGGTTGCTTGTCTTTTCAATGAGCTACATTTAAAGGTAACTGTTAAAAGAAGCTAAATATAAACAAAATATCATAAAATATTTTTACATTTATTTTTATATCTAATTTATGAATGTTTCAATAAACAGTTCACCTTATCATTTAAATTAAAAAAAAGCAATTTGAAATTTAAATTTGAAATAAATACCTTTCAGCACTTCTCAAGAATTCTCACTGGTGGTAATACAAGTGGACCAAAGACTGAGTTATTTTAATAATTTTTCTTTGATTATCTAACTAAAAAAAGTAGTAAAATCTCTTCACGTAATCATCGATGATAACGTGAAGAGAATGGACTCCTTTTTTACTACTTTTTTTTGAAAAGCAGGTTGGTTCGATTGTCCTAATTAGATTAATGTGTTTGACAATAAGTGTTGGTAATAAAGTTTTTTGGAAAAAATTAGGCTCCTATCCCAGTCACTGCACCTTCATTAAATCTTCAAGTTATTAATAAATTGATAAAATATTCTGAGTTCTCTCTTAAACCAGCAGAGGTTTTTTTAAAGTTACTTAAAAAGCACAATAGGTATTTAAATGCGTATTAATTTTTTATTTTTTATTTTTATTTTATTTGACTTTTCATCATATGTTTTTCTATACAATGTTCTAATATCCGAAGATATTGTTGACTTATAGACCAACATTTTTGCGTACCGAAGTACCGAAGATATTACAGATAATTGTTTAACTGTAGATCAGATACATAAATTAGCTCTTAAATAATCTTAAACAACTTAGTCTGCCAGTTATAAGGATATAAGATGGCGAAAACTGAGTGCTGAAATTTTTATTGATAATGGAAACAAAACTAAAAATTAAAGATTTTAATCACTAAAAAAATATCAAAAGTATATTGTTAAAACTGCAATTGTAAAAATGAGTTCTTTAAGCTTTCGTTTAAAAGAAAAATAGTTACTTAGATAAATAAAATCCTCAGTAAAATTAATTAAGAACGGTCCGCGATAATTAATACAAAATTTAAAAAGATTTGTTTGAAAAATGGGCTGCTTAATAAAATTATCATTGTGTAAAACGTATTTATTTTTATCTTTTGATGAATACAAATTATGGAAAGAGATCGCGGATGAATTGGAACATAAAACAAAAAATATTAAAAATATTAAGCTCATATATATTACAACTTTCATTTCAAACAATAAAGTCTTGGCATGAGTATAACGGTCTTTAAAATATATAAGACGTCCTACATGTTTCCGTTGACAATAAAGAGGTTTAAGTTTATTTTTATTTGTACTACCCCAACCAATGTTTGCATAGTTTATGTGACAATGAATAAATGATCCAGAAAAAAATTATCACCTACTTTAATAACTGGGGGCAAAGGTTGCGATATTTTATTAGTGTTATTATATGCAACTAATCAACGAAATTACCAGTAGTTTCGTTTATTAGTTGCCAAGTGTGTTTTGAGTTTAATTTATATTTTTCAAGTAGATTAGTGTAGTATGTTTTCGAATTTTTCCTTAGGCGTTCAAATAGTCTGACGTCATTAGGCGTTCAAATTGTCTGACGTCATTTTTATAAATACTCTTGCTCTCAATTGTTTTTGATTTTGAATATTTAATATAAAGTTTTTGATTTTAAATATTTAATATAAAGTTTTTGATTTTAAATATTTAATATAAAGTTTTTGTTTAGTTTTAGAAGATTTTAGAATACCCTTAGTAATCCATGGCGATTTAATTTTATGTTTGTAATTTATTTCTACTTTGGGAAAATTGTCATAAATTTTATAAAATATTTAAAAAAAAGATTTGTATATTAAATTAATGTCTTCAGAAAAGTTAATAATGTTCCAATTAGCTAAAGAAAGTTGATATTTAAAAGATTCTAGGTTTTTATTATGAAAATTCGTTTTTTAAATTATTTTTTTTCGTTATATAAAATTTTCGCATAAATATCTATTGAAAAGAAAATAGGGAAATGATCAGATATATCACTTTTAATAATGCCTTTTTTAAATGAATAATAAAAAATATCGTTGGTTATAATGTTATCAATTAAGGAAGTTGTTGTGTGAGTAATTCTAGTTGGTTTGTTTTTAGAGGAACTGCTTCATTTTCCAATAGGCCATAATAAAACCCATTAATCTCTTTTTTAACGTAATACTCAAAGCAACTAAAATTCTGATCACCTAATATGTAAAGTAATTTCTCTTCGTCGTTGATTTTATTTATGTAAAAATGCACTAAATATTTTAATTTTGCCAGAGAGTGGGCGATAACAACAGCTAATCACAACGTTTCAAGTTTTATTGATCAATATTTCAATCGTTAAAACCTCTTTATTAACGTCAGAAATACTCATGTCATGCCTAATATAATATAGTAGGTTTTCTTTTACATAAATAATTAAACCAACGCCGCGTTTATTTGTTTTCCGCCCTTATGAAATCAAATTAAAGCCCGGTATTTTAAAATTATTATTTAAATTTGAGTCATCAGAACTACACCAAGTTTCAGTTAGGCATATTACACTAAAAATAGTTAGATTTTCCTTGAAACTATTGCAAAGATTTTCAAATTTTTTTGTAAACTTCTCATATTTATATGAATTGTGTTAAATTTATCACACTCTAGAATATCTTTTATTTCAAAATTATAAAAATAACTACAGTTGCTTTGTAAAGCATCAGCTTCACTAAAATAACTTTGATCCGGATCGGATCCAGTTAAGTATAAAATCATTGAATTGAAAAATACCAAAATTTTTAGAGCGATTTGAATCTATTTTAGTATTTAAAAATAATAAAAATTATGAAAAAGTAATAATAAAGATAAATTCAGTAACTCTACGATAAAAGAATTTCTTTAAAGTCGCGCGTTACAAGTTTATTATATACAACTTTAGCATATTTACCTTTGGCTCTCAAATCTTTTGCTTCTTTAAATAATTGTTTTCGCAATTCTAAAGTTCTTTCGCTGTAGTCTTCGTTTACATAAAATCGATCGTTCCATAACTTTAATTGAACATAGATACCCAACGCAGTTTTTTTGTCTTTGTAGTTTAAAAATTTAACTATGATGGTTCTGATGTACTTTTTTCCATCGCTACTTTTTTTCCCCGTCGTGTGCGCCCGTTCAATTTCAATTTTACCTTTAAATTCAAGTTTTGTCTTTAAAACATTTTGAATCTTTTATTCGCTCAATTCCCACGTTTCATTTTCGTCTTCTTCAATTCTTGTAAATCTTAGGTTATTTCTTCTACTCCTGTCTTCCAGCTCAGCTAGTTTGTCTTTGACAACAACGTTTGTTGTATCATTTTGGTTTGATGATAAGTTTGTCTTTTTTTTTATTTCAGAAAGTTCTTGAACAACTGATTCATATTTCTCGCTTAGAAACACCGCCGATTTCCTTAGTTCATTAGTTTCTTTTTTAAATTTTGTATTTTCTTCTTAAAGATTTAATAGCTTAATTTCCATTTTGTCAAACTTCTTGTTAAATATTTTTAGTAAAGTATTCTCATGAATATCTAATAGGTCTTTAATTTGAGAAACCTTAAATTTAGCCATTTTCAATTTAGTTTACAAAAGCACGTCCGTTCACGTCAAAAGTTTTTGCCTAACCGGTCATCATTAAACATCACATCAGTCATTATTAAACGGTACGCATACAAATTAGAGCGATTATTGGCCCAACGATTGTTAATTATCAAATAAAATAACGTTAAAATACTTTTAAAAAACTTGTAAATAAAATAAAAACTTATGAAGAAGACTAATTTGCAATTTATACAACTTAAATTTGATTTGATTTATAATTTCTGTACAAATAGTTCAAACTAATAATGTAAATAACAATTATATGTTTGCATAATTTTTGTTTAATTTTGAACTAATACACGAGTTGCCAGTCCTCATAAACAAACCGATGCTTGAAACTGTTATTTCCATTTTTCAGATTTCTTATGAATGTATGTGAAACATTCATAAGAAAAATATGAATGAAGTGCGCTTTTTTTTAATTCGATTTTTTTTTTTTTTTTTTTTTGCTTATGTAAGCATAAGAAATAAATGGCTTTGCAGATCAATTACTAAAACAAATGAACTTGGTTATTTATAATTTTTTTCTTCATTTTCAAAAACGAGTTAATTTTAAATTTTGATATTTGTAACGCATCAATGCATAATCAAAGTATTAAAAGTGTATCCAATTTCCGAAAGTGAATTTTAACTTTTTTTTAGACTCATCGGAAGCTTTTTGAAAGCTGCGATTTCCAATGCAGTAAAACAAAGGTGCAAAAATACCATCCATAAACGTCATCATTTTTATAACTAGTTTGACGTAATTCTCACTTAGATTTTCATGATAGTTTTTGTTGAAGCAACTTCTGTAACATAAAGATTCTAGCAAATAATATACAACACTAGGACCCCAACATATTAAAAAACAGGTTATAATCAAAAACACTCGATTAGATTTGTTTATATAAAAGCACTTCTGATTATCGTTAACTGTTTGATCCTTACGCATCGCTCTGGATTTTTTAAATATCATCATATAAATTATAATAGAAAAGATCAATGGAACACATCTGTTGCTAATCAGCATAGATGTTGTCCATATATTTGTTGGGTTATACAAACAACCTGATTGGTTTTTATTATTTGAAAAAGGTATTAAACATAATATCAGCGTATATGTCCATGTGCCCAATAAGAGAACATAGGTTCGTTTTAAAGTTACGTTAATCCGGTATTTTAAAGGAATTTTCATTAGCAAGTAACGGTCAAATGTCACCACGAGCAAGCTTAAACATGCAGCATAGTTTGTTAACATGTAAGTAAACCTAAACGTGTCACAAGTCAAGAATAATATGCGGACATTACTTCGTTTTAATGCGTACAGAGGAATAACAAAAACTCCTTGAATTAAATGTGCTAAAATTATACTGCAAATAGCAACATTGGAGGGCGTATGCAGTTTTCGATTTTTGTACGTGATAATTAAACAATACAAACTAATACACGTAACAAAGAATGCCATAAAACTCAATCCAATTACGGAAAAAAATATCTCAGTTAAAGGTTGGTTCAAAATTGTAGTAGTATTAGCCATATTTTTAACTCTTAAATATAAATAAAACCAACTATCTGCAACGATAATTTTCAGTTTATTCTAAATAATCAACAAATCCTTTAAAATATCAATCATTAACATCAAATGAAAATAATAAATTTCAGTGTTTTATTTGTTTTGTTTTTGGCAGTTTTATCTTTCTTTCCTGTTAATGCGTTAATTGAGAATAATAAACTAATAATGTTTAAATATGACTTAAAATATTGCAAAACAATTTAAAATACAGAATGGTAATATTGCAGAATGGTAATAACAAGGTAAAAAAAGTTTTGTAAACTTAAACAATAATAAGACTTGTAATTAATTATCTGCTGAGATCGTTTAAAGAAGAATAAAATAATTTTTTTCGCGAAGTGCTTTTATTATATGTGCATATTCACTTCTAATAATTGCTTTTTTTTTTACTTGTTTCTTTTTTTTTTTTTTTTCGATTGATTTTAACGATTAAATGCCAGTCAGGAAAACCATTAAGTTAAATATGAATAGATTTTAATATTTATTACGATTCTTTAATGCTTTTAAATATATGATGTCTATTGATTAAAAGCAAAAATTATAAAGCTAGTTTATAAATAATAGTTTTAAACATGAATAAATAATGACTTTTATCCTATTTTTTTTTCTATAGGTTTTTTTAATAGTAATGCACTTCATATTTATTTAAATTTGCAGCAGATATATAAAACTTTAATCTTCAATAAAGTTTTATTTTGAATGGTATTACATTGGAAATAAAGTATAAACAATCTTAATATTATTATAGTTTTTAGTATTGTGGTTTACCCTCTTCCGTATAATTTCCATATAGAGGCCACATCTCAGGCAGGGCTGCCAAGAGGAGGAGGGGGGGTGCCACCGGGCGGCAGATTCCAAGAGGCAACAAATGAAATGTAGGTACCTAATTAAAAAAAAAAGTCTTTTATATATAATATAGAGAAAAATTGATAAATAAGGATGCCAATCAGGATTGCTTTCACTTTATCTGTTCCTAGATTCTCTGAAATCATTTGTTCGTCTATGTTTTTTTCTCCGCACTTTATCCCTTAGGAATTCTCTCCAATCTTCATATTTTCCTGACTCATACAACCTGCAAAATCCAAATTCTCTTACATTGGAAGTACATAAAATTTACATTATTTATGAACTTGTTTGTAACTTTTTTTTTAAACCATTTGCGTTTGTTAAAGATGTTCTTTACTTTGATTGCATTTTTTGGCTTTTTGGATTGAGTTAACCTATTTTGCATATATTGATTATTTATAAAAAAAATAACAACAAAGAAGTTGATTTTTTAATTACTAATACTTTCTCCACCATAATTTTATGAATACTATAATTAATAAAGATTTTTTTAAGTATTAGTTAACAAAAGTGAAAAGTTGGATAAAAACCATATTTTTCTAATAGTTAATCCTAGAAGATGACTCATCGAGTACATAACCGTTCATAAAGATAAGAAATTCTAAATTATTGCGATAACGATTGGCTGAAAAAAGTTAGATTTTATCTAAATTAAAGTTTATCGGTCATAGTGAGCTCCATGCAATAGCGGAAGGGAAATCTTTTTCAAGCTCAAATGCTCTCTACAAGCAATCAAAGAGTGTTCTTCTTATCAAGACAAGAATAAATGGTATTATCATCAGCGAACAATGCCACTTAAGATGTGAGAATATTTGGAAGATCATTAATGTAAATTAAAAAGAGTATAGGGTCAAGGAACAATCCTTTAGGAACCCCTGAGGTTACAGTATATGAAGTAGAGTGCTCTCCATTGACGACAAATTTTATACTACGATTGGAAAAGAAAGATTCAATAAACTTAAAAATGTTACCAGATACACCGTTTGAAGATAGCTTATAGAAAAGACCAGCATGGCAAACTGTATCAAAATCTTTAAAAATGGTTGGAGCGATGGCCTTAACCTCTCCACCTCTATCTAATGCACAATAAAACCTATTGGTTATTACTGTTAGCAAGTTAGTTGAAGAACGAGAAGATGGAAATCTATATTGATGATCAGAAAGTAAGTAATTAGATTCAAGATAATTGTTGAATTGTTTGTTAATTAAAGGTTTAAAAGTTTTGCATATGATAGGAAGAATACTAATGGAACAGTAGTTAGACGAGTCATATTGCCCTCCAGAATTTTTAAAAATAGGGATTACAGATGCCGCTCTCCAGCTGGCTGGAAAACAAGACTCTGATAAGCACTTGTTGAATAGTTTTGAATGGATAAACGACAACCTCGGAATGCACTTCTGCAAGACTATAACAGGTATGTTGTCCGGGCCACAAGCTGTAAAAGCAGGAAATCACTTTTGATACAAAATCTGGAATGATACGAATTTCAAGCAATGGATCAACCTGTTTGAGGGTTACATCAGGTAGAACGCAACTAGTGGAATCAAGAGATGATATTGATTCTAAAGTTCAAAAAATTCGGCTTTGTATTTAGGTGAAAGTCAGAACCATGCAAGAGAGATGAAATAGATTAGCCCTTAATATTGATGCTGTTAAAGAATCTCCAGATATCACGAGAGCCTAATTTTTGTAATAAATCACACGAAATTTCATGACCAGAGATTAGCGAGCTTTAGCGTTTGATAAAACCTTTTTACAGTGGTTCCTACCAATAGTAAACAGACGTCATTGTTTTCTGATTGATATGGAAGTTACGGTTTCAATTGGAAATTGCAACATCATAATGTAAGGAAAACCATAGAGAAGAGTAAGATTTGACCGGAAACCGTCGAGAGGGAATAAAAAATTCCGTGCCAGCCTGAATCCACGAAGTTATGAAAGATGTGCATTTATCAGTAGAAAGACGAAAGAATTCTACCCAAGGGTCATCACAAAGAAAATCATGGAAAGCGTTCTAGCCAGCTTTTAGGTAGTTGTAAGAGATAAAATATAAGAGGGATTTTGACAATGAAGAAGAATGAGATAATAGTTTTAGAAAGATCGAACCGTGATCAGAAGCACCTAAGGGTGAATGTAAAGAAACTGAGCACTGACAAGGGTCAGAAACCATACATAAGTCGAGAAGAGAAGATATATAATTGGGGTTGTCCGGAAAACGAGTTGGAAAGTTGACTATTTGAGTAAGAGACTATTTAAGTAAGGCAAAAGTTATGGGTTTTAAAGCCTGCAGATTAACTGATACTAGAGCCAAGCCATTTAGTTTGATGAGCATTAAATTCACCGTCAACAACGATATTGGCTGATGGTTAAAGAGAGAGGACTTGGTCAATTTGATCAGAACTAACATCAAGAAGAGTGCAGTCTTGAGATAAAGGAGGGCAATATAGAACAAAGAAAAAGGCGATAAAGTGAAGTGGTACTAAACGAAAGCTCATAAAAAAGTAGTCTGTGGATTTAAACCTAGTTTCTCGACAAATGGGTGAATTCTTACAAATGTAAATGCCCAGGCCAAGCATGTGACTACTGGAGTTATTACAAATTAAAGGAAGAAAACTATCAACACTAAGATGTTGATAGTTATCTAAGAAGGTGAGCAGCCGTGGCGCATTTAGTTTTGGCTTAGAACCCAGAGGTCTGAGGTTCGACGCTGGCTCTAGCCCAACAAGCAACATTGGTGCGGAAGGAGGCGTGAACTTCTATTTAAATGCTCACCCGCGGAACTCTGTCATAAGACCGTAAGGACTTCTGGGAGCACCTAAATAACCTTAAAAAAATATAAAAAAATAAGATCACTAAATGATACAGCTGAACTCAAATTAGTCTTACAAAGACCAAGTAGGTCTAGTGAACTTTGCAAGAGATAAGACTCAACAGAAGAAAAGTTACTTCGAAGACCACGAATATTAGTGAATGATAGGTTTAAAGAATTTGGTGATGATAATGGTTTTTGGTGTTTTATTGTTTTTGATACTTTATTCATTTTAGATTTGTTAAAGAACTTGACTCAAAGTATAGATTGTACTCAGTACACAGTTTAATAGTCCGCACAATTGCCTCAATACTATTAATAAATCCTAAACCGTAACAAAGAGCTCGACAATGCACACTACAAACAGGGACACCATCTAAGCGCAACATTCACTCTTAATAGTTCAAATATTTTTTAGCTGTTGATGGAATTAGCTTCTCTGAGAACTACCACAGAGTTCAAGAAACCTGACTACCAGCAGTCTCAGAACCATAAAACTAAGTTTTAGAGCTGCACATTGATTAGGAAATAATAGAATGAGTTGCCTTGTCATAAAAATAGAGCCACAAGGAAAACTCATGTATGAAGATTCAGCATTCAACATCCAAAACTGGTAACAATTAATTAAAAATATATCTGCGCTAGTCTTTGTTGATAAAAAAGGAGTGCGAGGAATGTCAACATTTAGAATCTGTTCACCTCTTCTACAAGACAATAGTCCTTTATAGATAAAAAAGGAGTGCGAGGAATGTCAACATTTAGAACCTCTTCTACAAGACAATAGTCGGATGCGTTTAACATTTCCCCAAGTATTTTTATCGTGACATCTACTCTATTGACATCTCTACTTTACTCAATATGACATCTCTACTTTACTCAATCAAGAGCTCCAAGGCAGGAGATGTTTTAAGTCGGAATTAGCTTCTCCTAGTCTTTGCTTAAAAAAACGTATCCTACAAGGCAGCAGGACAGGAAGCAGATGGTACTAGATTACATGTTACCAATACCAAGATAACCTGACCTGACTTTAAATTATGTGTTATTATGATGTTAGTGGTGTTGTTAGTGATTATGTTCTTGGTGATCATTTTAAATTAAACTAATTTTTATTGATTTGTTGGGGTTGTAAACATTTTGTAAACCTAGAAAAAGAGATATCTGGAAAAGTAGTCATTAAACAGTACCTTTTGTGACTTTCATGTATGATTTACTTGAATAAACAAAGAATATTTTTTCAATGCAAAAATTTTATTAAATATAAGATATAAAATAAAAATACTTTGATATCATTTTAGAATATATAAAAAAATAGTATTGTATTGATATAATCTATGATTTATGACCTAATTTAATATGCAGCTGTTTAACATACAGGTGGCATTGTATATTTATATAATCCTGCTTTACCTGGATTTATGATGCACCACTCTAATTATGAGTACAACTATCCCATTGGTACTGAAGAGTTTTAACTGAATTTTACATCAAGAAAACCTATAGAGAAAATTCTTGAAGACACTGAGGTTCTTCTTGAAGACACTGAGGTTCTTCTTGAAGACACTGAGGTTCTTCTTGAAGACACTGAGGTTCTTCTTGAAGACACTGAGGTTCTTCTTGAAGACACTGAGGTTCTTCTTGAAGACACTGAGGTTCTTCTTGAAGACACTGAGGTTCTTCTTGAAGACACTGAGGTTCTTCTTGAAGACACTGAGGTTC